CCGAGACACGAGCGTCCGCATTGCCGGCAACAAGCTGTTGATAGATTCAATGCTTTTACGTTAACATGCGGTTTCTAAACTGCATACATTTATGCGAGTTGTAACATTTCGTTCCCATTTAATTTAACATTATCTAGTCGTCAATTAGTGTGAGGTTGATCGAAGTTTCTACGTAGTGTTAGATATTTCCACAAATAACTTATTTAAAATATAAACGGACGGTCATATTAACAATACTTGTAAATTACTTTAAACACACACAAACTGAACTACAATGCGACAACATTACTTTAAATTAAATGTACAACACCTCATTTATGTTCTTTCAATAAGTGAGCAGCAACTTCCGACATGAATCTCTGATACATTTGACACAAATCTTATTAATATTATAAATGCGAAAGTTTAGATGGATGGATAGATGGATGGATGGATGGATGTTTGGTAGCGTTTGTAGCCTAAACGGCTGAACGAATCTCTATGAAATTTGGCAGAGGTTTACAGTATAGTCTGGAAGAACACATAGGCTACTTTTTATCCCGGTAATAATTACGGTCCCCGTGGGATTCATTGATTTAGTTTTTTAATGTTTACTCGATCTTTCTGCAACGGTTCAGCATATCTTATTGAAATTTGGCACAGATATAAAACAAAGTCTGGAGTACACATGAGATAGCTTAGCATCGCCGAGAAATGTCCGGTTCCCGTGGGATACGTAACTTTTTGTAATTTATATAGTTTGTATGTTTTCTAATACCACGAGGACGAAGTCTCGGGCAACAGCTCGTAGACAATAAAATTAACAAGCAAAATATACACTTGTAATCCCAACATCGTTCTTTAATGTAAGGATAATAAAATAGATCTCTTATACAACTTATGATAGATTCATGCATAAATAATTAGTCATAAATTAAAGTGATTTACTTTTTTCTCGTTATGAACACCATCGATGAACCTCACTGTTCTTTAACCACTCGCTTAAAACAAATTGTGATAGCACCTTAGATCATTTAGTTATGCATGGTTTTGTATCTTGGGGAAAAACAATCCCACTATCATCGCTTTAAGATTATTTACAACAATTATTAAAAATGGTGTCACAGAACATGGTCTACTTACGTGAACTCTGTAAACGTGGATTGAAGATTTGTTTTCGCATGATCCCGCTTCTGATTGTTAAACATTTCCACAAATGACTTCCTTTAAAATGTAGACGGACGCCCATATTAACAATATTTGTAAATTACTTTAAAACACACAAACTGAACTCCAATGCGACAACACAAATATATCCAACGTTCCGTTGTGACTACTAGTAAAACACTGAGCTTGTTGGCGACTGAGCGCCAAGACTGCGATTAAACCCGAGCCACTCCTTGCCATATGTTTTATAAAACTACCCCCTCACTATTCCTTCCGTTTCCTAATATTTTCCTAACAATATTGTTGTTTTAAAAAAAGATAAATGTATTGATAAATAGCACAGATTAACAATAACTTTTAAGAATACAGAATATATCAAAAATAGTTAAAAAGCTAACAGTAGTAAAACTAAAGCTACGTAGTTCGGGAACGCATTTTATGAAGTTATCGAAGCAAAAAATGTGTTTTGAAAGGTCACGCTTAAATTCCATGAAAATTTTGACGTCTGTCACATTTTTAGCGGCGATTACAAAGCAAAAGATTGGTTACATTATTCGGGTGAAAAAGCCCATATCCGTACATGAGTAAAGGGTTAACAGATAATGAATTTACACCCGCCTCTATGTTTTTATCATCTCTTGAAAAAAGTATCGTTAATTTCTTATTCTAATATTATACGCCGTAAAAAATATGTTTCTATAGATAAAAAACTACATGAAATATTTGAAACGGCTACGTGACGTGGTGCAGTAGATTTTCGTGTGTACGTAGAGATCTCGTAGCGTTAGTAGCTTGTAGCGGCGGGGTCGTCGACCTCACACCCTCTGCCTGTACTGCGGCTTTGACGGCGACGTGCGTTTGGATTCAGCAATTTATCAACCAAAAGATATCTATAAAAAATTTTACTTCTAATTATAGTACAGATTTTTTTCGAAGCCTTTATTTCTAGTATATCAAAAAAGAAATTACTAGTTTCTTTCTTCATTATGTTACATAAAAATGCACTAGTTTTTTGACATTTTACTTTCCATTTGAATATGTTTTACCTTCCATATCATGAGAAATTTACCTTATGTTTTAATTTCAAAATATCCGATATCTTTGTGTACAATTTTCTTTGAGTTTTCTAAACGATTACTCGATCAAGTACTAAACAAATGCAAAGACGTAACGACGGGCAGGTAAGGTCAGAGGTTAAAGTGTCCGCGGCTGCCAAATTAAATATAACCTAACAACACAAACAATAAGAGTTATATTACAAATAACTTGGCTTGGTAATTGATTTTGCAGCTTTGAATTTAGATTATTGTATTAAACGATTAAGTATTTGCAAGAGGGGAGCGTCGGTCAGGATGGTAAGATAAAGAAAATTATTTTGAACTGACAATTTTGTCTTTAGAGACATTTACATACAATGCAGATATAGTAGGTTAATCATTACATACATTTTATAAATAAAAAATTTGTAATGTTTTTCAATCCACTTTACTCGATATTATTGGCGTTACAAAAAGCTTATTGTGCACTCAAATGGTCTCCCTTTTATAAAAAGTTTATTCTCGGCGAATGAATGTTTTCAACAAAATCACATTAAAGGGAAATTTCTTTTAACATTTTCTTTGCTATCCTTTTAGATAATTAAGCAAACATTACGAGTGAACGACTTTGATGGTCTATATGGATGGAATATATGAAGTGTAGGGATATATTTCTCATTTTCCGTAATAGATATCTTTTTGTATATGTACCTGAATAATTTACAGGTATCAGTGCTAGAGCCCGCTTTAACATCTTAGCACGAATGGGCCGTTTCGCCCGGTAATACCACGACCACACAGAAGACAGGCGTGAAATGGAAGCAATTCTGTGTTTCGTCTGATGAGTGTGGTGCCGGAGGCCTAATTTAAGTCCCTTACTCCTTACCATCCTTTTCTCATAAGGAGAGGATGGGAAGGGCAAGTGGATTTGACAGTAGAGGAGATGCATAGCAAGAGGAAATATCCTCTTTATGTGCGTCTCCTCCTCAATCGGACAAGGGTAGGCAACGCATCTGCCATTTTGGCGGATTCAGGTGGCCGCTTGCTCTTTTGCCATCATATATTATAAAAAAAAATAGATAATCATGCCTATAAATAGGAATTCCATCTTCTTTTACAATAACAAAGAAACGAAATTGCAGTCTAGAATTTAATCTGCAATTTTGTCCTCTTATTAAAGTCGATAAAACAATGAAGATACATTTTAAGTGTGTTATTTCATATTTAAGAATCAATAGAAGTATTCTCGTAGTATGCAATTGTAAATTTGATTTACGTTACCGTAGCTCAATCAAATATAGTTACACTAACGAAGTTTCCTAGCAATTTGATAGCGCACTTCATAGTCAGGTTTAATATTTAGTTTGCGTTTTTATGTTTCAGTAAAATGATCATTTCCAATTGGACCTATAACAATCTTATGGCGTCTTTTTGACATTTTGCTTGCTGGTTTTTAGAGTTATCAGTAACCACTTCCCTTTAAAAATAAAACTGTATCTATACTAATATTATAAAGAGGAAAGATTTGTATTATTGAAATAACTCGAAAACTACTGGGCCGATTTTAAAAATTCTTTCACTGTTAGATAGGTAATTTATCTGTGAGTAAAATAGGCTGTTTTTATAATTTTACGCTGGCGAAGTCGCGTGTAAGCTAGTTCTAATATGCTAATGTTTAGCAACTTATGACCTGAATGTACATAGTAATAGGGAATATGCATGTATTTTTTTTCTTTTCTTAAACGATTCTACTTGTTATAAAATAACTAGAAAAAAAATGAGCTAGCAACCATTGCGCTAAAAATAATAGAATAAAATTACGACCATTTTAGAGCGACTAAAACGCGACCGGAGTTGTCATGAGACAATGGACGTCAATCGTCATATTCCATTCATAACATACGCTCAGATGTCACTGCGATGTAATAAATAAAAAATACATCAGGATTTTCACATTTTTATGTTCAGAATTAACAATAACTGGTAATCGTAAGTTAGTATCATGTTAAAGGCCTTATTAAAAGCAAATAAAACTACGCTAGACCAGCGTATATGTTTCTGAAATTTCGTAATTACAGAAACGGTGCAGTTGCCGCTCTCTTATTGGTTAAGATAAAAATGACGTGTTCCAAAATATACTAACTGTCATATACTTGTAGGTTTATAATAGCTTTCGTTAAAGTAAAATAAAACACATTTACAGATCACACGTTTAATATTTTAGTTCTAATTAACAGAATGGGTGTACAATATCAGTCTATTTTACAATGTATTCATTAAATATATTATCTTTTTTATGTATAAATAAATCTTTTTAAACACTTGTTAAATTACAAACGATATGAGCGGTGGAGTTATAAATGATAAGTACATTAAGGCGTTATTTATAAAGCAATTATAATTTTACAATTCAGTGTGTTGAAAATTCATTGCATGAACTTACTTGGTGGTTCTCAAATTACTTACGATTTTACCAAACCAAATCACACATAACTATGACTAACAGTGTTGCACACTAAACCCAAACACAATTTTTAAGTTACCTGAAGCGAAAATGTTAATTTTTGGTGTCAATAAAATCAACCTTAAATACTAAGTTTCAATTTTAGTTCGACTGGAACATAAAATTAAAACAAAATCCAATACTATGATGTACCAATTTATATGACAACTTACGAAAACCCACTTTTAAATGGCGCAAAAACTTTTATTATTTCGTTAAGACACACAAAATCATTGAAAGATCAAAGTTTCAAGATTAATAATAAAATATAAATAATTACAAAAATAAACTAAAGATTGAAAGAAATAAAAGAAAAAAATTACATCAAGTGACAGTAATATTTTTAGCGGGAATCTAGTTGTCATATGAAGTAGTGACGTCACAGCATGTACCATAGATAATAAACCTACATTGCACAAATCCAATTACGTTTTTTTTTAATATTAAACTAATAGGAATTATGGGAAAAGGGCAATATTAGAGGTTGCCATCTGTCTATGCGACGAGAATTTCAATTAAATACGGTAAAAATGAAATAAATCGCACCATAGACAAAGGAACTAAATTCCTACGATGTTGCCATACGACAATATCTCTGGAAATAAATTAATAATAAATATAATCAAGCGAAACTTTTACATCTCAATTTTATTACTTAGAATAATTTTTCAAACATCTGCCATTAGTGAGATCATGGGCACCTCTAATATACAGAATAAAAGATATTTTTTTAGTATACTTATTTACAATTTAAATATCCGATCTCCTCGCGCACGAAAAATGTCAGAATGGAACTATACAAACTAAACACTACAAAAAAACGTTAAAGAAAGGAAATCGGAAAAACGAATTCTATCAAAACTAACTTAATATACTTAGAAAAAATATGCTACAAACCCTTTTTGACGCTTTTTCACTTAAATCAAGAACATGAGACTTTTGATTGTCGCTATACATTAAGCTAGCTACACACTTCCGGAATATTCCAACAAACCTAAATGTGTGTAGTCGGCTTTAGGCGTAATAAATCCAAAGTCCGTTGAAAATCTTATCAAGATTTAACGTTCAACAGCAAGCGTATATTTCTGGAATCGTACCATAAAAAAACACCTACTAGAGAGTACATACAGGATGTTCTAAAAAAAATATTGCTATCTCACTCTAACATAGAGGTATTGTACTCTCTTTTAGCTGGAACAGAAAAATAAAACTTTAATATTGTTGCCATGAAACAATTGAAATTCCTAGAATAATACATTCTCGGAACGATTTATAATGTAAAAGAACATTTATTCTCGAAAAAAATGCATAATCAAATATGGCCGAAGCAAAAAATTGATCAACAAAATTGGTCAAGTCGTAAATAACGACAAACATTGAATATAGTGACAATTTGAGACAAATTTTAATTCAATTAATGAAAACAACGCAATTTCTATATAATTATAAAAAAATTACCACTAAATTTGTGCCAAAAAAATCAAAGGCCAAGAAAAAAAATACATGTCAATTTTTTTAAACAAACGACATGTTATAAATAACAAATTTACGTTATCAACAGTATTTAAAAGCTAAATAAATGGTGTTACAAAAATATTTATTTCAATTAAAAAAAAACGTTCAAATTGTCACTAAATAACGCTTGTCAAAATAATCAAGAACTTAAATTCATAATTTGTGGTCTAAATTATTAAAAAAACAAATGTATACGAGATACACAAACAAGTGTACATACATACAAAACTTCCGCATGTTTTAATACTAATTCGTGCAGTTTGTAAAGAAATAAGATAAAAAAACGTAAAATAATTCTATAAAATCAAGAAGTCTATTCATTTTTTATACATTTCTCAGATTTTGTACAAACTAACTACCTTTTATTTAGTTATTATTTGCAAGATTATTATTTAAAAAATCTCTTAATTTACTGTTTCTAAATTTCTCAGAAATTGCACGAAAAAGTAACAATACAAAATCTAAACAACAGTTTGTTTGGTTATAAAAATACATCGAATCGGATTTATTTAAAAAATCACAATTTGACATCAACAAAAGGCGGGAAAAACGTCAAATTATATTTTCCATCTACCATCCGCTATATTAAATCGATTCCAAAATAATTTGTCACAAATAAAAAACTATACATATGTATAACTAGGCATATAATAAACCGGAACCCTTTCAATATATTAGACATCTGTTAACTTAATTAATTCGCGTAATAAATTAGAAACACGATTCAAACGTATTTGGTTTGACATTACGCCACAAAGTCGATAGATGGCATCACTTTTGACACTTCACTTTATAATCTATGTCGCGACACTAGCGCCAATTGACGTTTCACTTTACTCTTTGACAGTTTATCTGAGCGCGGTGTACAGATTAAGTACGCTCTTATTTTCTTTATGTGAAGGAGTTTTGGAGAAGACGTTCCAGAAGCGTAACGTCTCGTCCCCTGCGCCGGTGACTATCGCCTCGCCGTCGGGGGACAGAGCAAGGTAGAGGACGCGATACGAATGTCCTGTTAGCTTTGCCACCTGGAAAAACAAAACATTTTTAAAGAACAGGAAGCACTATTTAAATTGCATTTTCGATTAAATATTAATAACTAGCTGTTCCCGTGCGACTTCATCCGCATGAAATTATGAAAATTTTATTTTATTGTTTACATTTGTCAAATGATCAATTACAAATGTCAAAATACCAATTACCTTACTATGGCAATTCTGCTTTTTTGATGTTGGCAGCAACCTATGGTCTCTTTCCTACATTAGGGTTTTTATCGTGAAAATATATAGCCTAAAGCATGAAGTAACTGTGGGGTTTTTTAATACAAAAAGAATTATTCGAAAATATGCTGTAATTGCTGACATCTTAGGTAACAAAGAAATGTGTGTTTACGCTTTATTATAATAGTATAGATATGCAATTTACTATTAGATTATGTGGAATTTATATAACACTAGGTTTTAAACGCGACTTTGTTTGCGCGGATTACAAAATTTATATCTGTTCTTTCAGAGTATGTTCTACCAAGATCTATCAAGCCTTTGATGATAGTGAACATCCATCCATCCAAACTTTCACCTATATAGTATAGTAAGAAGTTCTAATGAGGTATTTTACCTGTGTTAATGAAGGATACTTCCACACGAGGATTTGATTTTGCGAATATCCGTGCGTGGAGACCAACTCGCTGGAGTGTTTGGACCAAGCCAAGTTGCACACTTGTGATCCTGAAAAAACAGTTACATTTTCAGTATTATGACGGACTATAGAACGATAAAAGTCGAACTAAATTTTAGCTCACTAGCGCCCTCTTGACAATAAGACCCTTGCTGTACTGATTCTTTATTTATGTGAGTTTCTATTTAAATCATTCAGTAACAATTGAGCATTGTTTAAACTAGAGGTTCGGTCTTGTATAGCACTTGCAGGTGACTGTTCTATAACTTACGTCTACAGAAATGTAAACATCCTCGATTGTAAAGAGTGTGACGATGATAATGATAATGATGATAATTACAATGTTATTGATAATGTTGTTGATAATGGTGTTGACGTTGTTGACAATGTTGATGATAATGACGACGTTGTTGACGTGATATTGACAACGATGTTGAAAATGATGGTCATAATGATAATAATGCTGATGTTAATAATGATAACGTTGTTGTTGTTGATGATGATGACGATGTTGTTGTTAATGATGACAACGTTGTTGTTGTTGATGATGATGGTATACAGACCTGTATCGACGCACTGCATGGGCTGCGAGGTGAGGGTGTTCCAGAAGCGTATGCAGCGGTCGGCGGTGCCGCCGCCGGAGGCCAGCAGGCCGTGCTGGTGCGGCGACCAGGCGATGGCCTTCACGGCGGCGACGTGCGCGCCGTACGTCTGCACCGGGGACGTGCTGTGCTGTAACACACGTACTATATTGTACACAAGTAGAAAAACCTTACTAATATTGCAAGTGTGTATTAACCTTTAAATGAATATATTTTTTTTTCTTTTAAATTGAATTTGAATTTTTCTCCTAAATTGAAACAGGTAGTAATGAGTAAATTGAACATAGATCAATGGAAAAATAAAGAATTTTTTAAAAATAATCCATTAAGTGTGACAGAGAAAACCAAGTGGGTTAGAAGCTCGATTCAAAAGGCAGTTCTTATAAAAACTGCACGCATAGTGAGGAGGTTCCTCTCTCTGCAGCCCTGACCACTGGTTATTTGAGATATCGCATTCGGCAGCTGCTCTATTTTTACATAATATGTTTTATTTTTATACAAATCATATAAAATATATCATGTATGGAATAAGTCAATAAAGACATACAATTATAAATGCTTCATCATTCATCACCAGCTCACTCTGAGCCTACTATATATAAGGAAGTAGGTCAAAATGAGATTTTCCTTCCCTAAGAAAATCGGGTAAATTATGTACGTATATGAAGTGGAACACCGCGGATTTTCGCGGCTGTACTTATCTATACTATTATAATAAAGCGTAAACACACACTTCTTTGTTGCCTAAGATGTCAGCAGTTACAGCACATTTTTGAATAATTCTTCGTTTAATAAAAAACCCTACACTTACGTCACGCTTTAGGCTATATATTGCACGCCATTAAACTTAGGGTGTAAAAATTTTGGATAAAAACCCTAATGTGGGAAATAGACATAAGTTGCTGTCAACATCAAGGGAGCGAGGTTGCCAAGGTTTGTCATAATGTCATGTCATTTTGACAATTACAATTGATAATTTGACACATGTAAACAACAAAATAAAATTTTCATAATTTTATTCGGATGACGTCGCATGGGAACAGCTAGTTAAACTATAAAGTAAATATTTACCATAGACCATACGAAGAGTTTATTGTCATTCCCGCCCGAAGCCAGCGACTGTCCGTCGGGCGACCACTTGAGGCCGCACACCTCCTGCCGGTGCCCTTGCAGCACGCGCGACGTCTGCTGAGCTGTAATGCATTATTACTATATACTACATATTATTTGATGTAAAAAGCATAAAAAAGTGTCTACTACTTATCTAAGAGCCTTTAGTTCTCATCTGGCCAGTACAGTAAGTCGCCCTGGCATGGTATAAGCTTACTGACGCCAGTTATTTTGTACATTACGCTAGTGGACTAGTGTTTCGAGCACTAGCTTCCTTTACTGTCATAATAAAAACCAGGAATTTAATTTTAAATGTAATTTTAAGGTTCGTTGCGATATTTATTACCTAACACACTATCTATGTAATGGTCTTCCAATAAAGAATACAGTCCCTTTTATCCCTTGTCATTTCTCAATGAAGTTCGAATAGCTTGCATTATAAAGTACAAACGTATCAATTTATTCAATAAAATATTATAAAACGATCTTCTAACTTATTGTGTGCAAGTTATTGATCGGGGAGTGTATGATCCTAGCGATGAACCGCAATGAGCATTTCCTGCGTCTAATCAACTGTCAATGGAGTTCGCATTCAACTACAAAGGAAATGCACTTTATGCATTCGATATGCATTATTAAGTGAAAGATATATTTGAATGAATTATTAATAGAAATCTTGTTATGTTATACATTCACCAGCTCTACAGCCAGCGCCGTCTCTGCATTAGCTTGCCACCTTTTGCCACATTTCTTTTTTGTTTAGTAGCTCTAGGGTTTTATGTATTAGATGTCTTAAGTAGTTTTTTGTGGCAATAAAAATCACATTTACTTTTTAAAAAAACTATTCTGTTAATATGAGATCAACTTACGTGGTGTCCTAGTGTCCCGCTGTCGTATATGTCGGTCCCTCGAGCCGGAGCTCAGCATGTCGCCATTCCACGCCAACGCGCCCACACGCGCGATGTGACCTTGCAGTTTTGTCACCTGCACACAAAGTTCATTTTTTTATTCAGAAAAATATAGTCCTAACCAAATGCATGTTAAACGAGAATATTAGTGAAGACATTATCTTAATATTCCCGACAGCGTATCAAAGAACAGAAAGACAGTGTGTAGGTGACGGTGGTGATTGTTCAATGCATTCTGCATACCTACGCCTACTTATGTTCTACATAGTTTAAAACAATTGAATTTTATAGAAATAATTAATTTTCAATGTCAAAAGTCATTATTCAATCAATTTTAATCAAGATATTCAAACTACCTTGAAATTTGTTCTGACAGAATAGTATGTCAATATGACACTATCAATGCAATTTTAATAACGAGGTTAAGAAAAGCGACTCAATTATACGAACAATAAATCATAATACACAATATAGTAGTGACAATGTCAGAGAAAGCACAACAGCGCACGTAGTGCACGCATACTCATATGGTCATGTTCTACAAAAGTCGTGACTTTTGTTGCCCTCAGAAGCGTGATAGAAACCACACGCTAATAAATTATTCCAATATCCTTACATAAACTACTTTTAGATTCGATGTAACTTATGCCTACCTCCTTATTAGCCGCGACATCCCATACACTGATGTGTCCTTTCTGCGTGCCCACGGCGACAAGATGTCCGCGCTCGCTCCACGCGACTGAGGTGACAGCATTGCCTTCCGACGACAGGTCGCACAGCCGCGTCACCTGATAAACACATCACGTGACAGCTTACTGTATTACTGACTTCGTTCACGTGAAATAAAAAAAAATAGTAAAAGAAACATAGCCTATCTTATTTAGCAATAACGTAGCTTTTTACTGGTAAAAGAATTTTTTAAATCGGCCCAATAGTTTTTGAGTTATTCCAATACATAAAAATCTTTCCTCTTTATAATATTAGTATATATTAAAATAAAAATCGATTACTTAAATCAATCAGTAGGTAACGCAGCTTAGATCTACAATTACGTATTATTTTGTAACCGCCTAAACCCAAATGTTTAGTGAATTTTACTCAGAGTCGTAATTAGTCTTGAAGGGAAATCTCTGAGTACGGCAACAACCAGCCAACGTAAAGTTTAGATGAACTCTTATAATTCTATAAGTACCAGGGTAACAAAACTAACCTGACTGGTGCAAGCACTCCATAGATACACACAGCTACCTAAGCCGACACTGAGCACATTCTGTGCCGACCAGTCAACCAGGTTCAAATAGAAGTCATCCTGCAGTTCTGGCGCATCGAGCACTTTGAACGGAATCCGGGATATCTTGCGCGTCGCTTTGCGCGGTGAACGTAGGAGTTTCTGAGATTTTGCTGACACTGGTGACAGACTATACGGCGATGGATCTATATTCTCCTAGAACAAAAGAGATTTATTTCATAAATATAAATTAAAAAAATAATGCTTGTCTACAAAATTAATATTGCCCCTGACGATGTTTTTTTTCTATAGAACAATATTACTCCTACTCTTACAAGATACTTCTATATAGAGTGTACTATTTACTATACGACTTGTTCTTTTTAGTACATTACTCTCTTAACATTTCATTTTAAAATTAAACAGCCTGTATAACAAAGTATTTGTTTATATGTTCGCATGTCCAGACAGATATCTGCAGTATTAGATACGGGAAGCCTGTATCGCGACCCGGATCTCTTAATCAAAGGGAATTCAACCGGTTGAGACACATCGATAGTGCATCCAATTAGATATACTTGCACTGAACTTAGTAAGAAATCGTTTCTCTCCGTCTTTTAGAAAGATATCAATATTTACAAGTGTATGTATCAACTTTCACGCGTGATTCCGTCAGCGAAAAGTTAAAAAAAAAGTAACACATGTGTTCTTCCAGACTCTACATCTATGCTAAATTGCGTCGAGATCCATTCAGTATTTTAGGCGACAAACTCTAACAAACATCCGTTTATATACTTTTGCATTTACAATATTAGTAAACATGATATAATTAATTACGTCACTTCTATATCTCTTATAAATCTATTACCAAACGACATAAAAAGGGAAAAGGGGTTTCAAAGGCCCGACTTCAGAAGGACCGAGGTAAGTAAATGACTATCAAATGGCTACTGTAGAGGCTATCCTTTAAACAGACCACTAATAAAACAAATGTGTAACGAAATCCCTTGATTAAGTCCATGTCTTTAAGCGGTAGATAGTTGAGATAAAGTTGGGAAACAAAAAAGCGCAAAATATTTGAAGAGGACCCTTTTAAAGCAAGCAATTTTTCATTTCAACGCGCAATGACCTGTTTATGGACATGTTATGCGACAAGACGATGGGGACATAAACCTGAAAGTGTTAAGAATGAATGTGGATGGCTACAAAGGAAGAGAGAGACCGAATAAAGTATGGATGGATTGTGTGAAAGAGGATATGCTTAAGAAAGGAGTGGTTTCAGATATGACTGTTGATAGAGATGTATGGAAGAGCAGCATATACTGTGCCGACCCTCCATAAGGGTTAAGGGCAAGTTGATGATGCAATGACCTGTTTATCAGCCACAACCACAGTCAGTTGTTTTTGGTAGACTAAACGCTTAGAATAGATTCCATAAAACATCACTACTTAGTGTGATTACCCCTTAATCTTACCTTGATCTTACCCCTTGGTACACTTAGTGGCTACTTAATAATTCTAAGTGTCACCTTGATACTTAAGTGTCCTGTTTTGCAAGCCCAAAATAACATAATTAAAAGGGAAATTTTGAATGTTACAAAAATAAAATCGTACGTTTTTTCTAAGTGTCACCACACACGCGATCCCATTAACAAACTGGTTCGTCCCGAAATTTGTGCTGTATCAGCTGCGCTAAATCAAACACATAAGTTTTACTTTTAACTTTTATCAGTTGCATTAAAATAATGCCCATTTAAATATAGAATCGTTCGTAAAACGACTAAAATGCTGCACTAACTATATCAAATAGCTATTGCCCACGACTACTTCTGCGCTGAATTAAAAATAATAAAAAAAACATTTCTAATGTCACTCTGTGAAAACGTAGCTTTTTAATGGTGAAAGAATTGTTGAAATCGGCCAAATACTTTTTGAGTTATTTCAATACATACAAAAATACAAATCTTTCCTCTTTGTATTATTAGTATAGATTATTCCTAGTCAAGATACGGAGTCCGTCTTCTAAATTACGAAGTATTACGTAACATAATCTCCGAGCTATTAAGTAATTACATAGAAAAAATTGTCGAGATCACCATAATGACTAAAAAACATTAAGAACGTGTTAAGGATAAAAATGATGCATTCATTAGAGATGTGAGTAATTAACGAAGAAAATAGGAATTAAATAGAAAACAAAAAGTTTTGATAAACTCAATAAACTCCTCTGAGCATCAGAAACTCGATAACATAATCAGACAATAGAACAATAAACTTAGGCTATGAAATATTTTAATGTCTAGTTTGTCTAACACGATGTTACCTATTTTACATTTTAATACGTACATAGTTCGTTTCGGTAGTGCGTTAGAAACACCTGAAGCGGAACAGCGCAGTCCTTGAAGGTTCGGCTACCCGATGTCTTTTGTACGAGCGAAGCAAAAAATCCAACGCCGCAAACTTAGCCCGCGTGCGTTTGATAGTCTCGATTTGTCAGCGATTTTTTACGCGACGCTTTCAATTAATCATCTATGTAGAATTTCTATTACGCTCACTCGTTACAATTTTTTAGTACAGCGAAATAACACCTGATAAAGGATCGGTAACGTTTTATTACCATAAGACTAAATTCGCAGAACGCATCGGTACAACTAGTTTCTCTAAGCACTGTACAGGTGTTTTACTAAAATCCACAGAGAACAATTATTTATAAAGCCATAAAAGCGGGCATGCTTAGTTTATTGCCTCCTTAAACGACGTTACGTTGACAACTTCAACGTTAATTTTTGCACCGACAAACGTACCTGTAAATTCCGAGTAATTTACTGC